TTGGGTGCAAACCCAAATGTCATCATATTTGCCATAATGAATGTTCAGTCTAATTAACAAATAAATTTTGTGTTTAAACTATGAGAAAAATGTCAGATATTGGTAAACTCTTTGTACTTTTAGTGTCCACCATCCAACATGAATCTATGGTTAGACAAATAAATAAGAGTAATGCTATATGACATAAATGGTATAAAGAAAAAAATCATCAAAATTTTATAAGGATAGTGTTTTTTTTTTTTTTAGGGATACAAAGAAGGAAAAAAAGTTGGATACTTTATTTCGAGTGGATATTATGTCATTTAACTTTTTCATTTTTCAAATTTACCTCTAAAAACTTTCTATTTTTGGAAATGATGTCCGTCACCATGGTGTCGTCAAGCATTTTCGAATAAATAATACGAGTTTAGCCCGAGATGGACTAATTCGATATAAAGATCCACAACGACCTCATCGCTGAACACATATACAATTTTCGTGGCAGAGACGAATACATAATGGGTGCCCCCACTGGCCCCACTAAAAAAAAATTAAATATATATATAATTTAGAAGAAAAAGGGATAATCAAAGTCATTTTGCCCTTATATGCAGAGACAAATGTGCAAGGTCCCATCAAAAACTATATATATATAATTTAGAAGAAGAGAAAGGATTCAAACTTTTGCCCATATGGCACACCCACATGTATGTCTTTCTTTTCTTTTCTAGTAATCTTGACTTCCTTCTTCTTCTTTTTTCACATTTACCTTTTCATCTTTTGTTTTTAACTCTCTCTCTTGTTTTCTTCTTCTACGACTTATATTTCTTTCTTTCTTTCTTTCTTTTCTAAGTCAAGAGCTTATATCTTTGTTATTGAAAAATCAAGTGAAGTGGAGATTGAGCTTTTGGATCTCAATAGAAAATCGAGTTAGTTTCTTTTTTTGTTTCTCAATTATCTATTTTTAATTTTTTATCATATAATATATATTAATATATGTATATGTATTTTTGATATCTAACTTCTATAATATTAACATAGAGAAACATTGAGGAGCACATTACCCATAGAATCGAGTGAGGTGGTTAAATTGATATGTAATTGAAATCCTTTTTAGTTTAAATGATCAATTTAGAATAATTGTCTTTTTGGAAGGTGAAGATGGCATGTTTGAGAATAGGGAGGATCATGATTCATATGAATTTTATGATTAGATTTGGCCATATTTCCATAAGTTTGTAAGGATAATTAATTATAGTTCTCATGATAAACTTGGGTCATGATTCATAAATAAATAAAAAGGATAAATTGAGATGTTGCATTAATTATATATGTTGGCTTGGTTTTCTTTTGCGAGTCTATAATTAATGAATTAAACCCATCATTTTTAGGCTCTAATTATTTAGAGGAAAAAAATATAACAAAAGTTAGAAAGTATATGAAATTTTGATGTTATAATTATAAAAGGTGTTTGCCTAATAACCATTCTATTAATTTGTTACTCCTATTGTTTTACATTGCTATTTCAACTTGTTGCTTTATGCTATATGAGATTGATGTGGTAGTATTTCAATTCAATTAATTTTGAATTTGGTTCAAATTAATTATTAACTTCCATGGTGCTATTAAGATTATGCCTATATATATATTATTCTTTTGTACCGATATATGATATATATTATTCTTTTGAACTCATTATTGAATTATTTTTATATGATGTAGTTATGGAGAAATTTTTTAAAAGAAAACAAATTATCAAGGAACCATCAAGCGACAATAGTGCTAGTATAAGAGAAGAGCAAAGTTCTTCCAAACAATCGTGTTTGGAAATTGATTTGGATGATTTATGTTTAGATCTTGGATTAAGAAAACAAATTTTAGATTATCATCCAAATTATCAAGATAGAATTCGAAGAGCTTATTTGCAAAAGGGTCCATGTCAATCTCATGAACACGATTTCTCACAAAGAAGGATTGGAAAGATGTTAAGGAGATTTGTTCCTTCTTGATTTAAGGAGTATAAAACCTAGTTGGAGTATAGTATAGCTAAAGATGCTGCCTTTTGTCTATGTTGCTATCTTTATGGAGTTGATATTAGAGAGAAGGAAAATGGCGATTATTTTACTATTAAAGGCTTTACTAATTGGAAAAAGAAAGAAAGATTTTAAATTCATGTTGAAAGCCACAATAGTGCTCACAATGAAGCTTGGAGGAAATGTCAAAATCTAATGAATCAAAGACAACATATTAATGTCATTTTTTAGGCTCAATCAAATCAATCTCGAAGAAATTATCGAATTCGTCTAACTCGCGACAATTGATTGCATCCGATTTCTTTTATGTCAAGGATTAGCTTTTGTGGCAATCGATGAATCGGAAAATTCGATAATCAAGGTAATTTTCTAGACCTTTTACACTTTCTTGCCGATCATAATGAAGTCATAAAGAATGTGATTTTAGAAAATGCTTGTGGTAATGTCAAACTTGTTGCTTCGAGATCCAAAAGGATATTGTGCATGCTTGCTTCAATTGAAACCACTAATGCCATCATCGGTGATCTTCAAGATGATTTGTTTGCTATATTAATTGATGAGTGTCGAGATATATCGGTGAAAGAACAAATGGCGGTTGTGTTGTGATATGTAGATGCTAAATAATGTGTAATTGAACATTTTCTTGGTATTATGCATGTTAGTGACACTTCGACTCTCTCACTTAAGTTGGTAATTGAAGCATTATTCTCTAAACCTTCTTTGAGTTTGTCTTGTTTGCACGATCAAGGATATGATGGAGCTAGCAACATGCAATGTGAATTTAATGGCTTAAAGGCATTGATCATGAAAGAAAATCCAATTGCATTTTATATCCATTATTTTGCTCATCGGTTGCAATTAGCTCTTGTTCTCGTGGGAAAAATCATGCTCGGATTGCTTTGTTATTCAACACTCGTTTTTAATTTATCAAATTTTGTTGGAGCTTCAAGTAAAAGAAAAGATCTTCTTCGTGAAAAACAATATAGCAACGTTGTTGAAGCACTTTAAAGTGGTGAAATTCAAAGTGGCGAGGGTTTAAATCAAGAAACTTCCCTTCAATGAGTAAGTGATGTGGATCATTGGTGAATCTTATTATTATGTTTGCATCCGTAGTTGGAGTGCTTGAGATAATTGAGAATGAAGGTAAAAAATCGAGTAAAGAGGTGAAGCGTATGCCTTTCTTAATTTAATGTAGTCTTTTGAGTTTGTTTTCAACTTGCATTTGATGAAAAAAATATTGTGGATTACAAATGAGTTGTCCCAATCATTTTAAAGAAAAGATCAAAACATCATCAATGCGAGTGACTTTAGTTAATGTGTCAAAGAAGCGGCTTCAAATGATGAAAGATAGTGGATGGACATCTTTACTCTTTGAGGCATCTTCTTTTTGTGATGTTCATGGTATTGTTGTTCCAAAAATGGATGATATGTTTGTTATTCCAGGGAGGCCTTGAAGAAATGCTTAAAAAGTGACAAACTTGCATCATTACCAAGTTGAGTTATTTTATACTCGTAATTGACATGCGGCTTCAAGAGTTGAACAATCAATTTACGGAGGTGAACATAAAAATTCTTCTTTGTGTGGCTTGTTTAAATCCTATTGATTCTTTTCAAGCTTTCGATAGGAAGAAAATGATTCATCTTGCCACATTTTATCCATCTGATTTGTCAAAGGTGGATCTTGTTAAACTTGAAGATCAACTTGAGAATTATATCATTGATGTGAGATCTAATGAACAATTTTTTGGCCTTAAAGGGATTGGAGATCTTGCTAAAAAGCTAGTTGAAACAAAGAAGAATGAACTATATCCTTTAGTTTATTTACTTTTGAAACTAGTTTTGATTTTACCAATGTCTACTACTTCGTAGTGAGGGTTTTTTCGCAATGAAGATAGTGAAAACTCGACTCTGCAATCGCTTAAAAGATGCTTTGTTGAATGATTGTTTAGTTACATATATTGAGAAGGAGATATTCAATAGCATCAATAATGAAAATATTATTCAACGATTTCAAAATATAAAATCTCGTTATAAGCAATTGTAATTTTATGATATGTTACAAAAGATTGTAATTGTGTCATTGGTTTTTGGCTAAATTTATAATTTATGATTTGCCCTCAGTAAAAAATATTTCTAGATTCGTCCCTGTTCCATGATCCATCAAATTATCCCCATTTGCTGGGCAAATCAGAAAAACAAACGTCTTTGTGCTTAACGTGAGTTCTAAGAAATTAAGCAAAGAATAAATGCTACGTAATTTTGGTGTCGTATCTGTCCGCAATGTTTCACTCACAGACATGCAAATGACAAAATTGGAGGATAAATTTCTTTCTCACAAAAGCATCCTCCGAAAAAAAGTAGGTGAAACCGGGCTCTTTTCAGGTAAAATAACAGTGTCCAAGGGCAAAGTCCTTTTCAGTCTTCTCTGGAGCTAGAATCTCTGGCCTACATAACGAGAACTGTCTGAAGTAGTTGTTTTGGAGACCACTTCAGAAATCCATGAATGTGAAAATTAAAAAACTTTCACAAGAAATTCTACTCAAGAAAAAAATAGCTTCGTATTTTATAGGAACTTAACGAGGACATTAGGCAATTTAAGTTGGACAGCAAATAAGAGAAGAAACAAATAATCAATAGTAAGAATAAAACTTGATTTTGCAAGCACTGGTATTTCTAGTTACAAAGCAACATCGAGTCACTGGAAAAATTGAATCAATCACAACACTGCTAGAACAGTCAACCCACCACCACAAAACAGAAAATCAAGCTTTGCTTTACTGGAAATGAAAAAATATTCTGCATATACCAATTAAATCCTTAGAATTCCAATCTCACTTCTTGATGTTGGTTATTGCACAAACCTCCTCTTACAAGGAACAAGAAGTTGTTGGTATGTGGGAAAAAACAGAAGAGAGTATGCAGGTCCTTTTTCCTGTTTGTTTAATGTTGGTATAGAAGACAGCTGAAGTAGTAATCTAGCATACAGCTCTAGCAGTAATTCACAGCGTCTGTGTTCTCATTCTGTCTGACAGATACAACCTGCAAAATCGATACCAAAACTGCAGAAAGCTTGCTTTTCTTTCTCAGTATAATCCTTTTCTTTCACGAGGATAGATGAAAAAAAAAAGGTTCAAATTTAGTATGCAAGGCAGTTAATGAAAGAGGAGGGAAGGTAATGCCACTATGCTTATAATTTAACACCGCTTACAATTTTTTCAACGTAAATGAAGGTTGAGCACTCTGTCATGTCAATCTTTTGTACCTGCATGAAACAACAGATCATTATTATAATAGAATTAATCCTGCAACAGAGGGGGTTGTGGTTTGAACCATATGGGTACAATGTATATGACTTAGATGAAATGGTCTTGGCTTATGAGTTATAACAAGTAACAGACGTCGCTGACATTACAGAACTCAGTGCTAAGGTAGAAAAATGGCTCAATCCCAAAATAAAGAAGCATTGATGTTTAAACTCTGATATTATCTCCAACCATCACAGCAATAAACTGAATATAGCAAGCATAAAAAATTCTTACAATCTTCTTTTCCTAAATGAACTAGATTAGTGAAAAAAATCAATCCTCCAGAATTTATGAGTAAACCCACTGCTCATGAATGATTCCACATAGTCCGTAGAAAAGAAGAATGCAAAACAGAAAACCCTGAGTCTAAGAGACAACCCTGCCTTAATCATCGAAGACTTTGAGCTCCAAAACGGATTTGATTTTAACTTCCCTAAAAGCCCATACAGCCTCTCACCATCTATCCAGGATTTGTCACTAAACCCACCGCTAACCAGTGATCCCAATCCCCATAAAACTGATGAGTGCAAAAACAGATAACCTGAGTCTAAGAGACATCCCCACGTCAATTATTGGGAACTTTTAAGCCTCAGAATTGGATATGATTTCAACGACTATAAAATGCCTTTTAATCTATCACTATCATCCTGACACATTTGCCAAGAAAAACTACAACTCAATACTTGTGGCAGAATATAGCAGGCTAAAAATGTGATGAAACTTACAAGGTGGTCTTAATATCTCCTCGGCGTCACGTTGTTGATTGAAGTTGTGAGGTATGGAGACCCAACAACATTACATCCGATGACATAATTGCAAGTAATAAGCAAGAAGCTAGCAATAAAGATGACAACTATAAGATTTTACTTTCCCTGCTTCTTGGTTCTTTACTACCAACTTTTGCTTCCTTCCTAAAAATTAAAAACAAGAAAATTACAAACAAGATTCCTATCACCACAAGCAACAAGTCCACAATACACAACGCCAATCCCATGGCAACATATGCACACATGCACTTTGAAGTAGCATCAACTTCAGCACATCATTTAAAGTTGGAAAAATGTGACTACTTGATGTTAAGCCGAACACCTACTAATACTCCCCATTAAGCAGTTAGCCTTGATACTAAAGAAGATAGGATCATTAAATATATTCAATTGAGTACCAGAATGATGGAAGTAAAAGTTTGCAAGCTATGAGGAAGAGAACAGGCTGGAAGTAGAAAAGGGTCAAACCAATCTAGTAAGCAGCAAAAATTAAAATTCAAACCAAATAGTAAAATCATTACAATAACTTAAAAAATCAAGTAGCAATGCCATCGTACCTTTTCCAGGAGGAAAGAATCGACTGGAAAATGTTTCCAAGACTTTTGACAACGATCCAGCATTGGCAGACAGTTTGCTCTTCATGTCAACCAAGTCGACCCCATTGTCCAAGAAAACTTTCTTGTTAAAGCTAGACAACCTTCCGCTGGTTTCTCTTTGCAATAGATAAGCGCGAGATGCAACATTATTCCATCCTTCCCCTGCAACATCCTTAGCAGAAAGAAGACCATTTGATCTGGCAATCGCTAATGCACCACTTCTTGTTGCCAAAATAGCTAAAAAAAAAAGAAGAATAAAAAAAGATCAAGCATTGCATCGAATTCAACTAATCAACTCCAATCTTTTTCCAAAGAATCATGTATAATTCTCTTTTAGACATGAATTAAAACAGTTTTAATAACTAAGCAAAAAGGGAAAGAAAATTTAATGCTGTACCATTATAAGGAACTTGAAAGAGGTAATTAGCAGGCAGGCCAATACCAAAACCAACAAAAGTGATGCCCACGCTAAATCCAACACCACAACCAGCACCGACATACCCAATTGCTTCTGGACCAAACCCAGGACCCCATCCCACACCACAACCAATGCCTATTCCCATACCCCAAAATGCTCCAGAAGTTGGATGCACTGGGTTCCATCTCTCATATCTCCTGCACAACCCTTTTATTATCATTTGTACCTGAGAAAAACACAAGGGCGAAAAATGAATTATTTTATAAATAAAATATATAAAGAATACCCATAGACAAAAACTGCTGCAATTTACGTCAAGCTTTGTCTTCCAGTTCTCTTGATTCTGTGACTGAGAGAGAGTGAGGGAGTTGGGTAGTTGGGTTAGCGACTTTTTGTGTACGGTGTTGAGAATCAGAGATCTCGTGGGCTTGTGTGGTTTCTGACCTCAGGACTTAGTTCATTATCTTTCCTTTTGTTGGGCTGGCGTCTTAAAATGGATTGCTGTTGTTTCTTGGCCCAGTTTTGTAATTTCTGCTTATTTAGGTTTTTTTTTTTTTTTTTTTTATACATGACAATACCGAAAATCCATTATTCCAAGTATACGCATCACCTGGTATTACATATTTACGGATTGACAATCACATTAAATTAATTTTATTTAAGTGAGTTAGATAAATAGAAACAATATATTAAAATAAAAATGAAAATGATATCAACTTGAATACGTCATATCAATTAGCATATGGCTGGACTTAAACAGATGGAGTATATGATGGGTGGATACTCATGAATTACTGAAGATATTTTCCAATAATACCAACCCAAAATAAAAATAAATAAATAAATCCTAAACTTGCTCCTCGCTAGAAAATTTCGAAATTACCTACCATTTTGAGCAAGTTTTGGGGATTGTATAGCACTATCGTTTGATTATTTGTTTTTGAAAAAGAAAAAGAAGAAGAAAAGATGATTTTATTATTATTATTATTGCTGGAAGGTCTGTTGACCTTGTATTATATAAGGAGAACAATCATGTCCCATTATATAATAACTAAATAAAACTAAAATTATTTGAACTACAATCTCTTTTATTAAATGAAGTGATAAAAACTGAGGAAACTAGAAAATCTATACAGCAAATTCATCAGATGAAGGCAATATTATTAATAATAGTGTTCTTCAAGTTGTCCGATTAAGGCTACAAGATACTAAAATTTTGCTCGCTAGAAGTAATCAATAATCCCAAGTTAGACAATATTTTGTGATTTTGGAACATTTGTAAAGCTTAGTTGGATTTTTTTAATTGTTTTTTCAAATCTCCTTCGTAAACAGGTTTTCTTGTTTTTGGTTGGTTTAGACATATGAAATTCTTTTCTTTCATTCATAAAAGAAGAAAGTCTAAAGAGCAAATGCTGTCATAATAATGTTTCACTTGCTTCAATTGCTATATGAAACAACTCATTCGACATCTTTATTGTACGTATGGTCTGGAAAATTTGCCTCCTTTATACAAGCAAGACCATTTCCATATATAATTGAAAAAAAAAAGGTGCAATATTGCATGGATTGAGAGGTATCTGTCGTCTTTCTTTCTCGTCTTTCTGGCATTTAATTGTTATTACAGTCATTGAGAAAATTTCAGCAGTTAGCTGAAAAAACTGCATCTCACCATGTATTTTTTTTCCCCTTTTCATCAGTAATGCTATATTCAGTAACTGAATATAGAGCAACAAAGGACAATTTGTTCATTAAAACAAACGCTTATGCAATAAAACATCACATGTTGATTGAAACTCGCATTTCTCAGAGGGAGAAAGCAAAAATATACAGCATTATGCTCTAAACTTCGTTAATCTTTTGCACTTTGCAGGATAAACAGGTTCTCATGCACAAAATATTACTATATATACCTTTCTCACGGGATTAACCTCGGTAACAGAAAAAACTAAAAACAATGGATTAGAAATTGCATCATACTCATTTTGATTGTGATTGTGGGGAGTACATGGAGTAATTCAAAAAGTATTTGCTGCCGAGTTGGTAGCAGTATATACAAAAGAAGTTTCTTTCTAAGTTCTGGCTTTTCAGGGTAATTTAACACTTGAAAGAAACGAAAGGAAAAGCTCAAGACCGACTTTACCTTTAACATCACACACAGGCCAACTGCATATATGTCCAAGAAACAAAAACAAACGTTGGTTGAATAACTATAGGAACTAGACTACTGTTCCTTCTGGACGGGGACAATCACTACCACATATGAAGCATTATACAACCGTTGAAAGCCGCTGCAAAAGAGCATAAAGCTGCTGCATTTAACCTAATGCAATAGTTTACCAGCTGCTACATTCAACCAACGCTATAATAGATTAATACAGTGGTTTCCATATACAATAACGAAGGAACACTTTTCATTGCATAATATCCTTCGGTTGTAACTGTTACCTTATTACTTTAGCTAGTGGTTTCGAGAATGATATGGCATCGGTTTAAGTCAACACGTATGCAACGGTACTTATAATATATGCAATGGTTATTGAGATGTTTTACAAAATAGTTTTAATCAATTAAGGCAATGATTTATCTAATATTATGCAGTGGTTTATAATCATTGGCGGTGATTTTATTGTTGTATTATGCAGCAATTTATAATCATTAGCAACGGTTTTTAACTTAATTTAATTTTTATTTAATTTCAAAATTTTGATATTCTCAATAATAGTTAATAATTAGAACAAACAATATATTATAAAAAATAAAATTTTTATTAAATTTAAAATATTATAAATTAAATTAAAATTAATATTTAAAAAATATTTGTTAGTACATAAGAAAAAGATTAAAAAAAAAACATAAAAGAAAAGGTAAAAGTCACTCTGTATCATGTAATCCCCTCTCATCTTCCTGGACCTCGATGGGAGGGACGGTGGTATTAGTATAAGTGCCCAAAATCCAAACTTGATTACATGATTTGACTTATTGTAATATTATATTTTTTATTTTATTAATAAAAGAAATCTTTCTATTAATTCTTATTGTTTATATTTATTAATAGAATTAGATAGAAGTCCATATGATATGTATTGCATTAATGATTAATCGAAAAATGTGAGACAAACATTAATGCACTTAAATGATATCATTAAAGATCTCAAATCGTAGTATTGTAAAGAATGAATATTAATTATATACGATAACACTTGTAAGTACTATACTCATGTTATAAGATAATAATAGGAAATCTCACACCTATTGGCATGGTGATGCCAAACAAATACTAAAGTGATTAATGTTAGATAACATATTACTAGACTTAACTTGTTATGAGAACCCATTTGGTTTAGCTTCGGGAATCTTATATGAGATAGGTACAACTGGTTCTTTGACTTGAAATCATCATGGTTATTTCATTAGACAATTTATATAGCAAATTCAATTACCATATAGATTAAGAGTTATTACTTTTGGCATGACTTATGAAAAATAATATTTGACTTTGATTATTTCCAATTCAAAAATTATTTTTCATAAACAACTTACAATATAAATGAGTTAAGTTAGAATTGTCTTTTAAAAACATAACTTAAACTAACTTTTATAAAGAATGCATGCGAGTGTTATAAATTAGATCTAATAAGAGAAAAATGTAAAAAAAATAATAAAAAAATAAACAAAAATTATGACATAATATTTTGATTTAATTCAAAAGTTTTTTCTAACTAAACATATTTGTTAAGGTCTTAGCATTGCTCGGAATGGAGTTAGGGTATGAATTGAGCTGATTTTTTCAAAAGAAGAGAATAAGTAGCTATAAGAGCAACGAATTGATTGGTGGGAATAGTACTATAAAGTTGGGAGGGATTATGGAGTCGTCGCCGGTAGAGAGGTCGGTAAGCAAGCGAGTCTACTATGTCATCCTCTCTAAAGTCAATATAATGGAATGCATCGAAGTCTTCATCCCTTAGATCTTCACCTCCTACTACGTGATAATATTGTTATGCTCCTCTAACCTCTCTTGCAATGGCCTTATTGTCTCTGCATATTGAGTTAGAATATGTTCGGTAGCATTGGGGTCGGGACACTACGATGCTGCAAAGAAGTAGCTAGTTGATTGGGATAAATAGTAAGACATCTTTGACCTAATCCTGCAAAGCCTTTTTGTCTTCTCCCCTCGACATCATCAAAGTATATGGCATCCATGTCAACTTATAGCTCCTCAATTTTAGCCTCTCGTCGCCTCTTTACTGCATTCATATACCATCTCTTTCACATGCTCCTACGTAATCAAAATAATTATAACGTATAAAATAATTAAGTGTTTAGATTATATTTTCATATGTATAAAATAAAAATGACAAAAAACTTACCACTCGTAGACTAGACTCGTAAATCGATGAAATTCTATCTCTTTGCTTATGAATGACCCTAAACAACTCTAAATTTGTAAGTCGACTATCTAATTTCGCAGACTGAAAAAAGTTGACACAAATAATATATAAGATATAAATATTAATTTCTTAAATATTTAATAATATATGATAGGATTTACCAAGCGACGGGTATGCTCAAAAGAAGATATGAACCCTTCTAAATGCCCGGACGATCTTGAACCGAGCATCATCGATCTTCGACATTTGGTTATGCGATGCCCGCTCTAAACATGCCCGACAATCATATGTGGCAAAACTCACGGCCATGAATCTCACACCTCCTACTAACAAAAAAGGTCTTTCTTCCTTTGTACCATGTTTGTGGATGAAGTCAAAGTAGTGCTTCTTAACCAAAACCTCCCAATTATCTTTGGCTCGCGCCTCTATGGTCGGATTCTAATAAAAAACTTCTACATGAAAAAAAATTAATAGTAGTTCATTTCATATTAAATTAATACTTTAAATGTAATATAAATAAATAAATAATACGTTACCTTAAACTCATTGTAATAGAACCGCTTCATCTACTTTATAACAAACTTTCATGCTCGAGACACCGATGTCCAACCACTTCTTAAAAGTCATAATTACCCTTTTAGAGCAATCTCTCCGATAAGTAGGAAACTATCGATCACCACAAAAAAAGACATGTAATAATTATTGAAATGATGTATTAAAAAAATAATTACAAAGTTTTAAGTAAATTACTTATAGATAATTAACGATCAAAATTGGCTATCGAATATTAGAGCCTCGGGAGCTCCTTGGATCGGTAGATACATCGACGGATGAGGGATCCCCTGTGGGAGGTCGGGAAAGGTTGGCGATCATGGGAGCCGGATGAATGGTCATGGATGGAGATGCCATAAGCATCGTATACAATCTCTATAACCGCGGGGTGAGCGAAAAGTAGTATATTTTTTTTTATTATAATAAGTTTTTCTCTTGTTGATCCTTGATAGAGACTTTGATATCAAGGATGTGCATAAAAATTACATTATCTAATTCACTATCCGCACTCCAATAGATCATGTAGCCTCTTTCATAACAATGAATCTTTTCCACTAATAAATCCATCCCCTTAACCAACTTCTTTATTTCATAAAAGTTATATGTCATACAATCATCAACATGCATTAACTCATTCATCGACTCACATAACCGGTCGTAATATTTTTTAGAAAAATGATACTCGATTTTAGATTCAGCAATCGGGCATTAGTTTACAATTATGAGTGATTATAACAATCAATCCAAATCTCTCTATGTGATGTATCCAACATATCCTAGGCATTGGGATTCGATACCTCCTCATTCGTGCTAGAATAATCAAAAGATGGATCGATCGCATTCATCACTATTGTTTGATATGGATTTTAGGATTCACTAGAACTAATTTCACTTACCCGATAGTTTCTAGTAACAAAATCACTCCTAAAACTATAAGATGTAATGTATGACTCAAATTCTCCATAATGTATCCAATCATAATATTCTAACACAAAACCCTTATACCATAAATGGTATTTAACTATTTCAACCTCCTCAAAATTTTTGTTACGACACTTAGTGTGATTACGAGGAAACCTTATTTTCATTCCGTCCATACATTCTAGATGATTTATAGTAAATGTAAAAAAATCTTTTACCACCGTGGACGAGACTCATCATTTAACAACCGTCAACTAACCTAAGATTCATCCATTGCCATTCGGATCTCAATTTTTTAATTATCTATAAAAATTACACAACATATGAAACAATTCTTGATCAAAATTCTTATATGAAATTAAACATTTCTCGATTTCCAAATTACTTAATTAATAATTTTTCTAAACATCTAATACAATTTTGGTAGAGTCTATTCTATAAATTGCACATTTTTCAATTAACAAATAATTTAAATAATCATGTAAATATTACGCATATCGAGACCAATAGTTATCTTGGATATTCCATCGAAATTAAATCCAAAACTCATCCTTTTAGTTCCGTCATAAAGCATTGAACTAATTTTATTTCTCTTCAATTCTCGAGGGTCTTCGACCCTTCGGGTTCGATATTTTATGACATATCTCAACGCACTTCAATAATATAAATTAAATAATTAAAATATACAAATCCAATTAAAAAAACTTATAATAAATTTATTTTTCTAGCTTTTTTATGGTCTAAGTTAAGCTTGTTTAGTCCAAAAGTACCTTCAAGTTTCTAGATCGTCCGAATTACCGATAGGGTAATTCAACCTCCAAACTTATGCACGAGGAGGTAAAGGAAGGTTATTCTACCATTTCCTATGCATATGATGAGTTATAGTCCAAATAAGAATCAAAAAGAGAATCGGTAGACTTTCGTTATATTTGCCTCTAAATCTCTCTCGTCTAAATCATAATAGGATTTTAGCTTGAGTCTAGAGCTTTTGCATGTTTCCTTGTGGTGTGGGCAATAATTTAAAGTAAATATCCAAACCTGTTCAAAATTAAATATGTACATGAATGTAAGAAAAATAAATCACATACGAGTTAAATTGTTTTGTAAAAATTTTTAATATAATTTAATCTTTGATTTAAATTCTATTAATACTAATTCAAATTAACACTAATTAATCAATATTAAAATACTTAAGCCTAAATTAACCCTAGTTTACTCTAATTTAACCTTATTTTTACCCTAATTAACCATAATTTTACATAAAATTTTAACCCTAATTTAACCGTTATTTAACCCTAAATAAATCCTAAACAATCCTAATTAATCAACTAATAACTAATTTTTATTAAATCTAAATAAACCTAATTTAACCCTAATTAAAACCCGATTAAACTTGATGAACTACGATTAACCATATTTAATCCTTATTTACCCTATTTAACCCTAATTAATCCTAATTTAATCATATTTAAATCTAATATAATTTCAAATTAACTTCAAATAATTCACCCTTATTAAATTAACCTAATTAATCAACTAATAACTAATTTTTATTAAACCTAATTAACCATAATTAAAACCTAACCATAATTTATAATAAACCTACCTACTTGAAAAAAACCTAACTAAATTAAAATTAATTCAGATTAATTAATTTAATTAACATAAAAATCCAATCCTAACAATTAACAAATGCAATAAATTAACTAATTAATTAAAACTAACATAAAAATTAATACAAATAAGTAATGTGAATTGAAAAAAAGTAGAGAGAGAGAGAGAGAGAGGTAACAATTGTGGAGGCAAAGGAGAGGAATTAAAGGGGTGAAACATGATTTTTTAGGGAGAGAGCAAGTATTGTATCGGTTGGAGAATGATGGGGAGAGAATTATGTCACCTTGGGTGTTGATTTGGGGTCGGGCAATTAGCGGCATCGAGAGGAGGAGAGGGAAAGAGAAAAAAGAAAATGGGGGAAGAAGAAGAGTTTTTATCAATTTAGGGATTCAAAATTAGCAACGGACATGATTTCATCATCAATCCCTTGTTAATTAATGAGGGATTTAAGTGTCTATCGCTAACACATTCTAAGATCGATCATTTTATTTTTCATATATTTTCAGAAACGAGTTAACATTTATAATTTATGGGAAAACTAAATTCGTCGTTACGTCGTCCTAATATAGCTACAAATTTTCTTTTCCATCGTTAAATTGATTGTTTTATTTTTTGAATGTTTTTTCAATTTGACCTCGGTATATAATCAGCGACGGAACACAATAATCCATCGCTATGCCATTGCTAAGTAGCAATGGATTATCGTTTCCTTCGCTAAATTAAAGACAAATGTGAATTAGTGATGGAGTTCATATTCCATCACTAATTTGCCTCACTATACCATCGTTATGCCGTTGTTAATGTTGACTCATTGCAAGTTAGCGACGAACAATGTCCGACACTATTTTTCCATCGCAATACCAACACAATTCCATTTCAAATTAACGATGTCGTAACTCCGTCATAAAATACATTGTAAATTAGAGATGGTTGACTAATTGCCTAATTTTTTGTAATAAAATCCCTATCCGAATCCAATTTCCAAACAAAAATTAACATTCATCGAAGTTAGGGCTCGAAAGCCATATAATTAATATATAAATCTCACTTCTGCATATTTTGGCTTAGGGTTTTAACAATCTCTATCCATATTCAGTCTCTTCATCAAAACTCTCAGCCAACAACAACACGTACGTACCATGTCCTCATCAAAGAAGATCATCCTCAAAACTTTAGATGGGGGAACCATCGAGATTCTAGACGAAATAGCCCTAGAATCTAAAACAATCAAGCACCTAATGGAATTAGAAGACTGGCCAGACAACGTGATCCCACTACCAAACATAACAGGCAGGATCCTTGCCAAGGTCATTGAGTACTGCAACGAACACATTGGTGACGAGGATGAGAAAGGTATTGAAAAGTTGGAATCGGACGGTGATTTTGTCAAGGTCGATAAAGACACACTCTTTGAAATCGTTCTTGCTGCAAACTATCTTAATGACTATCTTAATATTAAAGGTTTGCTGGTTTTGACTTGCAAAGCTGTCGCGGACAAAATCCAAGGAATGTCGGTAGGGGAGATACGCCAGTATTTAAACATCTCTTTTAATTTTAGTCCTGAAGAAGAATTGCATATTCGTAGGGAGGAGCAATTGGCTTTTGAGTGATTTCTACCTGGTCAGGCCGTTTTTTCTTTTCATTTTTTTTATATTAGTATTATTGCTTGTTTTGAGTCAGGATTATTGTTCCTATTCATTGTGTAGGTTTGATGTGACGTGTTCTTGATCATTTTCTATAATGATTTGAAGTTATCTCGAACTTTTAGAAGAAAATAATTTTTTTACTCGCGTTATGTTGCGATTTATATAAAATATATAAAATTATTTAAAAAATCATTTTAGTTTGATAGTTTGTTTTATAGTGTGAATATATAAAAATATATGAAATCAAAAGTAAAAAAAATTATTTATAATTTTTTAAAAAAAGTTTGTATTTAACTATTTGCATTTCAGAAAAATAATATATATCAATTATGCTACTATAATTTAAAAATTATCTAAATTTATTTTTCAAAAAAATAATTATGTTCTAAAAATTTATTCCAAAATCCACACATATAGAAAAATAAATAAATAAATGTTAGTAAATATACTTTTAAATTAATTGGATGAGAATTTAGAAAAAAATGATAAATTAAAGTAGTAAATTTTAAATAATAAAAATAATTAACAAAAAACACTTAAACAAAATGGGACCAAATCACAATACAATTAAAGTTTGAAATTGAAAAAAAAATGTATAGAAAAATTAAGGAGCATATAATTTTAAATTAATTGGATGAGAATTTTAAAAAAAATGACAAATTAAAGTAATAAATTTTAAATAATAAAAATAATTAACAAAAAACGCTAAAATAAAATGGGACCAAATCATAATATAATTAAAATTTGAAATTGAAAAAAAAAAGAGAATTTAAAAAAATAACAAATTAAAGTAGTAAATCTTAAATAAAAAAATAATTAACTAAAAACACTAAAACATAATGGGACTAAATCATAATACAATTAAAGTTTGAAATTGAAAAAAAAGTATAAAAAATTTGAGGACCAAAGTATTAAAAAAAAAGCCATGAATATTGAAAAGAATAGTAATTTATGAATGTGTGAATAGTGTTTTAAATAGTAAATAAATAGTAAAATCAATAGTTTTACTTTAGTTTTTAGTATAATTATTTCTTGCCTCGTTTAATTTGCAAGAATACTGATAATTATTATTGGATTGATGGTACCATTAGCTTTCATTTTACTTGTTTGATCAGCGTATAAAATATAGTAAGAATAAGGTCTATCGTGTGCAGCACAAGACTATTAGGTGAGATGAGAAATTAGCTAGACTTGCTAGCAATTAGATGCGTAATTAGTTGTTCTTGTTTTTTTTTTTTTTTAGTAGTACTTTTTTACAGTTTTTAATCATTCATTGTAATCTTATAAAACTAGAGAGATCTGGTGTGAGATCTCTCGATCTCTTAAGCTCCACCTTTATCAATCTAGCTATTACTCTATCTCAAAAAGAGGAAACCAAAAACAAAAATAAAAATCAAAAGTATAATATATGTGGTAAGAGAATTACACTGTTGCACTATTAGAAGTAGAACAAACCATTATAAGATGAGATCGTGACACCCTAAAACAGCCACAATTCTATATGTTGTTGTTGTTCCGTGGGTATTGGATATTATAAAGAATTTCTAAATCTCCATCCCATAATTCGATTCAAATTTTTATCTTTATATTCCAAAAAAGAAGTGCTTAAAAAAACCAGTGAAGAGAAAAAAAAAAACTAAAAGAAGTGTTTAGCAAATTTGGATGCCTGATCTAAATTGCGGGATAATAGACTTGCGCTTTACCATTTATTTTTGTTGTAATTGTCTTTATCTTCTCTCGTGGCTGGTATCAATTCTGACTCCGACTCTTTTTCTTCCTAAAACCTACCACTAACCAATGATACATATTGACTTATTTAATCATTAAACAAAATCCATCCAATCAAAACTACATTTGCAAAATAAATTAAAAATTAATTAATTAGTAGTATTAATTATACTCAATTTAATATTATTTTATTTAAAAAAAATGTTTCTTATTGTTATAAAATAATGAATGTCTATATGAATGTCTATCTACTTTTCATATCCCCACTACCCATGATCCTTAATGTGATTCAATTCACCATTCAATATGAGAAATTGAAAGGGTGATGCAATTGATGTACTTTTGATTATTCATAGTCCCTTCCAATTCTCATCTCAATTTTAAGGCCTATAAATAGGCTTGATTATTCATTTATTGATGTACAAGTTTCCTAGAGAGAATAAGAGAAACTTTGAAGTTCTTATCACTCATATTCACACTATAGTGATTTTATTTTCTTGTCATCCTTTTCTTCAATTCTCCTATCATTTCTATTTATTTTATAACACGTTATCAGCACGAAATTCTAACCAATCGAGATAATAGACCATGAGGTATGTATCTATCAAAATACTTAATCAATTGTTTCAACCATTGGATTTCTTTTGTACAAGTGCTTTACCGATTGGATCTAAATTATTATTTAGATCATTAAGAGGTATGTATCTAATTTATTATGTATTTTAAATTTAATGATATATAGAATATATATTTGAAAAATTTTAATAATTTAATATATAGAATGTAATAATTTAATATATATTATTTGAAAAGTTCAAATTTTATTATTATATTTATATTTATTTAAATTTTATTATTATATTTTATCTTTATTTCCTAACATTATTATTATACTTTGCATTATACAATTTTAATGATATCTTATCAACCATCACAAAACTTAATTTTGTGGCCCTTGACATTTTGGGCAAGAATTATTGATCATGAGTGCTTGATGCTAAGTTAATATCATCTACTTTTCATACCTCGAATATGCTCCTGCAGATAGCATATCAAGATCATCTACTTTTCATGCCTCAAATATGCTCCTGCAGTAGCATATCAAGAAAAAGAGTTTAAGAAATATTCTGAATCGATTTAATATTTGCTCATTGATAAATAAAATGAAAAGCTATTGATGAAAAAGAATAAATCTCGTCCAATTGGATCTATTCCATTCCCCGAAGTGAATGTGACAATTTATAATAATTTTAGACATGGACGAAGATGTAGTCATAGCCATGAATGTTGTCAAAATAATGATCATTATAATTGTAATGACCATAATATTACATTTCACCACTAGAAGTGGATAACTATGAAAAAAAGAAATAAAAATAGATAAAGTCGGTATTCGAAAAATAAATATTATAGATGTGGAATGAATGAATATTGATCGCGTACCTATCGTACACCAAAGCACCTCATTGAGCCTTGTCAAGCCTTATTGAAAAATAAAGAGTAAAATATGAAGGTCACTTTTATATATCAAAGTAATAGTAATTGAAATTAATTATTTGTTAGTTTTTCTATCTATAAATAAAATATTTTATATTTATTATAATTTATATCGTATATTGATGGTTACAAATTTATTTTACTATTTATTTATTTTGTTTATGTTTATGAGGCATATATTGATTTATTTATTTTGTATTGATTTATTTGATTATTTATTTTATGTTAATATTATATATGATAATATCAATATAATAGAAAGCTACAGAAGAGCGACTATATTATTATCTAAAGAGATAGATTTTAAAGGCTCCGAGATAGCGATTATATCATGACTTGAAAAGATAAATTTTTGAAGCTCTAGAAGAGTGAATAAATTATTACTTGAAGAGAAAATTTTTAAAGGCTCTAGAAGAGTCGATATATTATTACTTGAAGTGACTAATTTAAAGGCTCCGAGAAGAGCAAATATGTTATTATCCGAAAGGATAAATTTATTATAAATGATGTACTATTCTCTTCAAAGTCTCATAGAAATTTTTTGAGTTTCAAAGATACTCATCCGATTTGATATCATATCAATATAGCAAATGTGAATACTTATATGTTATAATCATTATATCGGGTAGAAAATATCTATCAAAAAAAGAATTTATCCGTTTTCTCTTCTAGTATTTATTACAAACATTGAAATGATTGAAACAAATATTGTAGTAAACCGAAGTTTACTAATTCAAATACTTTTATTATGTGACATGACCAAGTTGTGCTATCTTGGGTCTTTCATGATGCGAAAAATTATTAAAAATTCATATGGATATCTATTGAAGAGCCGGAAGATTCTTCAATTTAATGAACTTTCATGTGGTGCATGTTGCCAAGGAAAATTGATGATTAAACCATCATCAAGTAAAATTGAGATTGAATCTCTAGTATTTTAGAATATGTTCAAGGTGATATATGTGGATTAATTCATCCACCATGTGGATCATTTAAATATTTTACAATTTTGATAAATGCGTCCACAAGATGGTCACATATATGCTTATTATCTAGTCGAAACTCGACGTTTTCGAGATTGCTAGCAAATAATTTAATTTTGAGCATAATTTTCAAATTATGTCATTAAAACAAGTCATCTTGATAATGCCGATGAATTTATTTCTCAAGCATTAAATTATTATTGATTAGCTATTGAACATCCTGTTGCTCATGTTCATACTAAAAAAGGTTTAGCAAAATCATTTATCAAAAGGCTCCAATTGATAGCTAAACCATTATTTAAAAATAAAACTTCCCGTTTATGTTTAGGGATATGCAATCTTATATACAGCAAAACTTATTCGCATATGACCCATAAGTTATTAGAAATTCTCTCCTCTTTAATTGATTTATGGTCATAAGCCAATTATTTCTTATTTAAAAATTTTTGGCATTGCAATGTATATCCTTAGTGCTCCTCTATAATGAAATAAAATGAGCACTTAAAAGAGATTAGGAATATATGAATCCTCTTCGATAATTTAATCTCTTAATTCATGAATAAGAGAAAATTTTTACAGCTTCGATTTATTGATCGTCATTTTGATGAAATAGTTTTTTCAACATTAGGGGAGAGAATAAGCAAAATAAGCGAGTTGGAAATGTTGAAAAAAAAAGATTACATGGAGTACTCTATCTTTATATCATATTGAATCTCGTACAAGATAATGTGAATCGAAGTTCAAAAGATAATTCATTTATAAGGTATTAGAAACCAACTGCTAGATGCATTCTTAGATCCTAAATGAATAACTATAATGCATGTCCCCGTTGAGAATGCTCATATTAGAATTGATGTCCCGAAGGACGATCTATTAATGTTATAGCTAATAAATCTAAAGCACGCCCGAAGCGTGGAAGACCGATCGGTTTTAAAGATAAAAATCCCTAAAAGAAAAGGGCAAGATGAAAATATTCACAAAATGGTCCAATATATTTCGATAATAGGCTTCTAGAAGAAGTCCAAATACTTGAGAAAAATCAAGAGATTTTGATAAATTATATTAATGCGAGGAGAAAATAAGACCGAAAAGAAACATCTATTGATAAGATTTTTACATATATTATTGCAATTGATATTATGGATGAAAATAAGGATCCCGAGCCTAAATTATTGAAGAATGTCGACATAAATATGATTGGCCTAAATAAAAAGAACAATATAGGCATAATTATGTTCTCTTATAAAAGAGTAGTTTTTTGAACCCATTGCTAAAACACCCGAAGATGTTAAGCTAGTGAGATACAAATATGTATTTATGAGAAAATGAAATAAGAAAGATGAGATTATAAGAGATAAAGCAAAACTTTTAACATAAAAGTTTTCGTAAAGAATTGACATTGACTATGAGGAGACATATTCTCCTATAGTGGATGCAATTGTCTTTTGTTATCTCATTAGCTTGGGAAAATGTATGAAAAACATTCATATGCATGCATTTAATGAATGTGATCACAGTTTATTTGTTCATTTGAAATGATATCGGTATGAAAGTCCTAGAAGGACTTAACATGCCGAAGCATGTAATACATATTCTCGAGAAAAGAATTCAATTAGATTATAAAGATCTTTATTAGGATTATTTTAGTATTCGTTTTATTATTTTGCTTTTTAGAAATTCAATTTATATTATACTTTTTATATTTTATTTTTATATCTACTATTTATTACTAACCCGTGTGTATGTGATATAATTACTTCAATGATTATTTGTTGAAAGAAAGTTATAAAAAAATAACCATATTTGTTCATATGTTTTTATTTGAAAAAAGGGTTGTTGTATATGTTGATAACTTAAATATTATTGGAACTCACGAAGAGATTCCAAGTGTCATGAGTTACCTAAAAAGAGAATTTGATGTGAATATCTTGGAGAAACAAAATGTTATCTCGACTCGCAGTTCGAGCACTCGGAGAATGAGATTTTCATTCATCGACCAATTTATATAGAAAAAGGTTCTACAATGATTCTATATAAAGATCATTCATTGACTAGCCCAATGATAGTTCATTCACTTGATATCCAAAAAGACCATTTTCGATCTCGAGAAGATAACGAAGAACTACTTGGTCCCGAAGTACCATATTTTAGTGCCATCGGTGCATTGATGTATCTTGCTAATAATATTCGGCTCGATATAGTCTTTTCTATAAATTTATTAGCAAGATATAGTTCTGCTTCAACACGGAGATATTGGAATGAAATTAAACATATATTACGTTATCTCCGAGGAACAATTGATATGGGCTTATATTACTCTAACAAATCAAAGATCGGATTAATTGGTTATGCGGATGCAGTGTTATTTATCCGATCCACACAAAGTTCGATCTCAAACTCGGTTATGTATTTACATATGGAGATACGACTATATCATGGCGTTCTATGATGCAAACTATAGCTGCCACATCTTCAAATCATGCATAAATACTAGCAATTCATGAAGCAAGTCGAGAATGTATTTGGTTAAGATTAATGACCCATCATGTTCAAGAGACATGTGGTTTATCCACTAGCAAGGAAGTTCCAACGAGTCTTATATGAAGACAATACTCCTACATAGCTCAATTAAAGGAAGGATATATCAAAGGTGACAGAATAAAACATATATCACCAAAATTATTTTTCACACATGATCTTCAACAAAATGGTGATATTAATGTTCAACAAATTCGATCAAGTGACAATCCAGCAGATTTGTTCACTAAGGCACTACATATCACAACTTTTAAGAAGATGATTCACAAGATTGGAATGCGTCATCTTAGAGATCTTAACTAATGGCTTCAACAGGGGAGACCAAAATGGGTATTAATGTGTGCAAGGAATAATGTACTCTTTTTCCTTCACTAGGATTTTTTTTTCCATTGGGTTTTTTCCTAGTAAGGTTTTAACGAGGCATATTCTTTGTACAATGGACATTCAAAGGGAGTGTTATAAAATAATGAATGTCTATATGAATGTCTATCTACTTTTCATATCCCCACTACCTATGATCCTTAATGTGATTCAATTCACTATTCAATATGAGAAATTGAAAGGGTGATGCAATTGATGTACTTTTGATTATTCATAGTCCTTTCCAATTCTCATCTCAATTTTGAGGCCTATAAATAGGCTTGATTATTCATTTGTTGATGTACAAGTTTCCTAGAGAGAATAAGAGAAACTTTGAAGTTCTTATCACTCATATTCACACTATAGTGATTTTATTTTCTTGTCATCCTTTTCTTCAATTCTCCTATCATTTCTATTTATTTTATAACACTTATCAATATTTCCATGCCATTTACTTTTTCTTTTCTTTTTTGTATTTCTTAAATAAAAAAGAACATGAAACGAAAAAAAAACTAATAATTAATTAGATTTTGAAACTAGAAAGACTATTTAATCTATTTTACAAAACCAAGAAGACTAATTTATAATTATCTACTCTATCATGCGCCTACGAGCAAAATTCCACCGAGCAACATAATGCCACTTCTAGTCGTCATTTTTGGATCACAGGATTATAAGCAAAAAAAATAGATATTATTTGATCATTATATTCATAATTAAGTTCTAGATGGATCTATCCAAGTTTCAATTTTGGTCCAAAAACTAGAAAAGTTGTTATATTGAATTAGAGATTACTTTGAAATTTCTTCTCTACATGATTTTTGTCAAAAATTTTAGGAAAAATGCTACATTATTATTTAAAATAATAATAATAATATGCAAACATGTTTTTCATGTAAAAATTTCATGCAAATATATATATGATCATTATTTAATGGGGGTCAATCATTTAAATTTATGAGATTCATACTTTACCACTCATACGCCGACTCGTCATATAGAAATGTAGTGTAAAAAGTTTGTTTATAAATTATTATTTTTTTGTACAAATATTTAAATTGAAAGTGGATCACAATCATTTCATAATATGAATGCAAAGGAGATAGATAAAATAACAAAAAAGAAAATTAAAAAATTTATTGATGTAGATGGAAATTCGGATCACTTCTAATGAAATTTATCATAATTTTTTCTCTTATTTATTTATTTGTTTTTCAAAATAGAATTATAGCATAACTATTGGAGTGATATAAAATTTATAGTTTTTGATATTAAGATTTGTTGTCTCACATCATTTTGTTTGCATTGGGTATGAGATTACATAGCACGGAACAATTTAGACTTAAAATTTTAATTGCGGTGTTTTTATGGTCTAATAATCTTTTTGGTGATCTATAAATAGATACCGATTGATAGAATAGATGTTTAGATCTTTAGAGACGACAAATCATTTGTTAGAAGATTTTTCTTTCTTTCTTTCTTAATTCTAGGTGTATTCTTCTATAATTAAATCTCTTAAAGCAAATTTCATTTCCATCTAACATATGGTCGAACATATAAAATGTAGTGTTTTCTATAATTGAAAATTTTTTAAAAATAGATTTAGTAAAAAATATAGAAGAATTGATGAACAAATATGATATTTTATGAAACAAATAATATTAAATTAAGTATTATCAATAATGATTAAATGAGTAAATTATTAATTTTTAAAACAAGAAGGGTTAATTAATTTATTTTTTGAAACTAAAAAAATACTAATTTATAATTTTCTTTACCTATTTGATGATTTTTCTTTTTAATTGAAATGTACAATATCCTTCCAAAGTTAAAAAAAAAAAAAAAAAAAAAATATATATATATATATATATATATATATATATATATATATATATATATATATATATTGAACTTTCACACAGAAGGCGAACAGCTTCTCGCAGGAGAGAGGAGCTGCCAGAGCCTCACTAAGATAAAAATATCCTTGCTACACGTGTCACGAAACGAAACAGGAAGCACGTGATTCCGATAAGCAAAAGTATGCCCTTAACCATTTCCCAAAAACGCGCAGAATTCCAAAATTCAAAAACCCCCGCCACGATAATTTCAAAAACCAAACACTGACTTTCTCATTCATTTGCACTCTCATAAATTCTGACTCTAAAAAAAAAAAAAAAAACACTCACACTTCCGATTTCTCTTAACGAAAATGAAGAAAGTGAAAAGTCGAAAATCGCCATTGCCTACGACATCGTCACCATCTCCGTCGCAGCCAAAATCAAGGATTCTCAACAGCAGCAAGAAAAAGAAACCGATCGCAAATGTTGCTGCCGCTGCTGGTCTTTCGAGATCATCGCCACCGCCATCTCTTAACAAAACCCTAGCTTCAATCTCCGATCTCAAAGAGTTAGCCTCTTCTCGCTTCGAAGATATCAAGTGCCGTCTCATCGATTGCTCTCATTCGGAGATCATCAAAGATCTTGAAGCTTCTCACTCTCGTCTCCATAAACGCTTCAAGGTCCTTTTCAACTTTTCACTCTTTGTCAATTCAATCTGCGTCTTTTCTTGAACTGATTAGAAATTCATCCTTCTTTTTTAAAAATAGATCTCCTTTTGATTTTATTGTGCCTCTTTTATTTTCTAATTTACAATTTAGCTTCAATTAGAGGAATTAATCGCTTTATTGTTATGCTAAATTCGTTTCGATCAATGATTTCTTTTTTTGTTGCATGCTTTATGATCAGTTTGTGTGGCTGCAGAGAAATCAAAAGAAAATGAAAATAGAAACCGAAATCGTTTATACCATGTTTAGATTTGACAAAGAAACAAACGCATCTATCTCTAGGGTTAGAGTATCTCACGTCGCGTTTGATTTATACGCGTTTGCTTTTTGACGCTATCAAATCCTTTATTATAAACACAGGACAGCAAAAGAGGCCAGCATTTTTTTTCTTGACAAACTAACTGAGTGCTTTTTTATGCTTTTTGTAATTCACCAGATTCAGAGCCAAACATGCCAGCAGCTGATGGATGAAGGAGAGAAGGATTTTAAGAAGATGACCGAACGGATTACTGAAACCACTGAAGTAATGAAGGTAAAAAAAAAAGCTTCTACTGTTGTATTTTTTGAATCACAAAGTAACCAGTTCTATACTTCTACTCATGGTAACTTCACCAATTTTATGTGTATAATACAATGATTCTCTCGCCCACTCCTACTGACTGCAGGAGACATACGCAGAGTTCATGGCAGAAGCACAAGCCACCGCATCCCGTGGTATGTTTAAGTATCTCGTCTTTTTTGGTTTCTTGTTCTGTGTTCTAACCGTAGTTCTGATGTTGAAGAAGACTACATATACTATATGTATGGGGTATCAAATGTTTTCAGAAAGTGCCCGGGTTAGTTTTGCTACTAAATTTGCAGGTGATTTCCGAAAGCAAAAACTCTTTTTGTTTGAAGAATATTAATGGTTTTAATTGAACTAAATATATTACTTAATTACTTACAAACACAGATATCCAAAGAATTAATAAGAGATTACTATATACAGTAGTTGGTGTTGTGACTGCAGCCGTTAGTTGGATATTTGAATCTGATTACTTGTCTATGAACACCGAATCCACTAGCAAGCATGACAGAATGAGTGAATTTCATTTGTTTATTTTTCCGTGTGAGAGGAGGGTTACAATCCAGAACTACTATTTTGTAGATGTCTCTAGCATCAAGTGAGAAGTTACTTAGGCTAAAATAACTGGAAGTTTTGCAGGTTAATTAGAAAGGTCGGACTAAGTAAGTTTCAGCAATGCATCACATACCATCTGATTCCTTTTTACGATCTATTGAACTTTTTTCAGTGTGCAAAACCGCAATCCCTGAGCTTTCAAAGTCCTTTGAGAAATCCATTGGTGCTCTCCAAGGCCGCTTTGGTATTCCATCAAATTGACCATTTGCTGTGATTTTCTCGGTAAGTATCATTGATTTTTTTCTTTCTTTCTTTCTTGATGCCTCTTTTGCTATTGGTAGATGGTGTGCATTTGTTCTATTTGTGATTCTGTGAAGTACCACTTACCCTATTTCTTGCTTGAAATTATTAATTCTCTTGCTAGGTTTTTAAACTCTAAATTTATGAAGGGAGCAGCGTCTAATACTATAAAGAGTATTGAGAAGAAACATATTCCCCTTATTTTATCCATCCATGTATTGTATAACTACTAATTTAATTTGCAGTCATAAAAAAAGACAGCTAATAAATCATGGCAAACATGCTGTGATTGGTAATGGAATGAATATAATTATAAGATCATCTAATTTCCTTTGTTTATTCCACATCCCTTTATGAGACAGTTAGCTTTGTGAATACTTTACAATTGAGAAGCCATAGCAGGAAAACTGTATTGGGCCATTCCTTTTAAAATGGCAATAACGAAAGCCCATATATGGTTCATTTTTTTGTCACTTCATGTTTTTGCAATTAGCATGAGGAATTACCAAGATGAAAGAAGGAAAACTGGCTTGTAGTGGTGGTGATGCAAATAAATAATTTGCTTCAGCTGAGCTCATTTTTTTATGTAAATCTGTTCTCTAACTAAAAGAAGTTGAGGATTGTATTTGATTTGCTTGGGATTTTTTAGCAAATAGTAGTTGATGTGTTTTCTCTGTTTGGGTAATGCATTGAATGTAGCTTGATTGATTGGTTTTGATTGTCTAAACTAAAGGTTTTTGATAATTTTCTTAGTTGTAAAACTTTCTGTTTTGGCATCAAGTGATTTGATTGTTTGATTCATTTCTAAAACGAAAATGACTATCAGTCATTTATAGCTCTAAGGGAAGTGGGCGATGCACTTTTTGGGCGGGAGTTATGCTGCATTGGCATTCAAAGCAATATATTATCATCTAACTTCAATTACCAACTCTTCACAGACAATAAATCTATGAACAGTTAACAGATTGACAGATTGAGGTGTTGGTTATCCGAGATCATCTTGCTTAGTTGGTTTCTGTTTCTATTAAAGCAGGTTTACTGCCTTAAGTCATTTATGCAGATATTTTGTTCACAGTTGGGTCTCTTATCTGTTGTAATGTTTTCTTCAATTAACATTATCTTATTCTTTTTGCAGTTTATCTTTTGTACGGTTTCAATTTTTTCTGAAGTTAATATATCCCATACTCTTCACTTCACTTCAGGTCGTACATATCCAGATTTGTAACTCAGTTGGATGCCATCGTCAAACAAGTAAAGATGTACAGATTAAGCGCCACATCAGTGTTGCTTAGGAAAGTGTTTTTTTTTTCTTTTTTTTTTTTTGAGGACAATGATCTGCAACTTTCAGCCATCTCTTATTCTAATCCGGTAACTGATGAATGCTTCGTTTAGAAAGACAATCTAATAGATAATCGCTTATAGTCTATAATTTACTGGAAGAAAGGATTATCTTTGCTTTAATGGTTTTTGCCCATATAAGATTCCTTTTCAACTTTGATTGAAATGGAAATGATTTCTTTCTTTCCTTTTTTGTTTTTTCGGAGCTCTTTTTGTTCTTTTTTGACATTGTTGTGGTATGATTTGGTTAGGGGTGAGATAACAATTTTTTTTTCCTAGTAGAGATAATAATCAAGCAAACTGTTTACTTTAAACCAAGCAGAACAATTTGATCGAGAAATAAAAAAATTATGGCATCATAATTTTCTGCATATAGTAGATAATTTGGGACATGTTAGTATATTTCGGGTATCTTAAGCTTTTTTATTGGAAGAAAATTATGAAAGAAAAATCATTGTATGGTTTATATGATTTTTATGGTATATCAACTTAAAGTTTAAGTTGATGCTTAACAATACTGTGTTGAATTTGTGATGTCAATTGATTTAGAAATAGTCATATTATTTTAAGTTATTTTTATGATCATATTAAAATTTACTAAATTATTATGCTTAAAAAGTACATAGTATTATAAAAGAAATAGTAACAATGATAGAATTGGAGAAAAAAATGAAGAAATGATTTCACTATCAAATAAAGTAGATATAAGAGATAACAACTTCAAATGATTTTCTTAATTTTTACAAAATATTTGTATATAAACTAATGAACAATTAAGTTTATTTATAGGCTTCAAGGTTAGTATAGGAATTGGAAGGGATTATGAATCATTAAAAGTATAAAAATTATTGAATCAATTGTATCATTCTCAATTTCTCATATTGAATGAAGAATTGAATCACATTAAAAATTATGAGTGGTGGAAATATGAAAAGCATATGAACATTTATATGAATATTCATTATTTCATGACACTCATCTTTTAATGTCCATTGTATAAGGAATATATAGCGTTAAAACCTTACTAGGAAAAAACCTAGTGGAAAAAAAAATCCTAATGAAAGAAAAGATTACAATATTCTTTGTATACATTAATCTTAATGTTGGATTTTCCCCGTTGAAAACATCATTTAAGATCTTTAAGACGATGCTTATCAATCTTGTGAATCATTTTCTTAAAAGTTATGATAGGTAATGCCTTAGCGAATAAATCCGTTAGATTGTCATTTTAATATATTCTTCTTTCAATTGAATTATGCAAACAACATTATTTTCATATAATATTGTTGAAACTTTTTTGTCGATAGATAAATTGCATGTCTCTCGGATGTAATGAATCGTTGATTTTAGCCAAATACATTCTCAACTTGCCTAATGAATTGGTATTTCTGCATGGTTTGAATATCTAGTAGCTATAGTTTGCTTCATAAAATGTCATGATAGAGTCTGTATCACCAAGTGTAAATACATAAGCATTTATGATCAAGTTTTATATGGATCAGATAAATAACTTGTATCTCGTATAACCAATTAAACTCGACTTTGATTTATTTGAGTAAAATAAATATCATATCAATTTTTTCTTAAAGATAACGTATGAAATGTCTAATTTCATTTCAATGTCTCTGTATTAGAGTAAAACTATGACTTGTTCATAAATTTATAGAAAAAGCTATATTAGGTCGAGTATTAGCAAGATATATCAATGCATCGGTGACACTAAGATATGAAATGCCTAATTTCATTTCAATGTCTCCGTATTGAAGTAGAACTATGACTTGCTCATAAATTTATAGAAAAAACTATATTATGTCAAGTATTAGTAAGATATATCAATGCATCGGTGACATAAGAAATGGTACTTCGAATCAAGTAGTTTTTCATTATCATTTCAAGACCAAAAAGGGTTTTTTTTTATATTAAGTGAATGAAAAATTATTAGGCAAGCCAATGGATGATTTTTATAGAGAATAATTGTCGAACTTTTTTTTATATAAATTGACTAAAAAATAAAAATATCATTCTCTAAGTTTCAAACTACTATTGGGCTACTATTGAGCTAGTCAATGGATGATCTTTATAGAGAATAATTGTCGAACTTTTTCTATATAAATTGATCGATGAATAAAATATCATTCTCTAATTGCTTGAATTGCGGATCAAGATAAAATTTTATTTTCGTAAAGTATTCACATCAAATTATCTTTTTAGATAACTTATGGTACTTTGAATCTCTTCGGGAGTTTCAATAATATTTAAATCATCAACATATATAACAATTATCACAAATCCTTTTTCTATTTTTTTTATAAAAATATATGAACAAATATGATTATTTTTACAACATTATTTCAATAAATAATTATTGAAATAATTATACCACATGCACACAAGTTAGTATCAAAGAGTAAATATTAAAAAATAAAAAATAAATAAAAAGTATAGCATAAATTGAATTTCTAAAAACTAAAATAATAAAAAAAATATTAAAATAATCATGATAGAGATCTCTATAATTTGATTGAATTCACTTCTCAATAATATGTATTACATGCTTCAAACATCTTAAGTTCTCTAGAACTTTTATATAGATATCATTTTAAGTGAATAAATATATTGTGATCACATTCATTAAAGGTATGCATCGGAATTTTTTTATATATTTTTCCAAGCTAATAAGATAAGAAAATGTAATAGCATCTATTCCGGAAAAATATATCTCTTGATAGTCAATGTCGAGTTTTTATGAAAACTCTTATGTTATAAGTCTTACTTTGTATCTCACAATCTCATCTTTCTTATTTGTTTTTTGTATAACTATCTATTTATATCTCACTAGCTAAACATTTTTAGGTGTTTTGACTATAGTTCAAAAACTATCGATTTGTAAGAGAATATGATTCTCTAGGGATTGCTTTTTTCATTTAGGCCAATCATCTCTATGTCGACGAGTCTTCAATAAATTTAGGATCGGGATCCTTAGTTTTATTTAAAATATCAATAGCAATATTATATGTAGCAATGTTATCAATAAATATTTCTTTTCGATTCTATTTTCTCTCTGTATTGACATAATTTAACAAAGTCTCTTGATTGTTATCAAGCATTTGGACTTCCTTTGGTAGCATATTATCAAAAATATCTTGGACTCGTTTGTGAATATTTGCATCTTTTATATTTTCATCTTGATTATTTACCATTTTCTTTTGGGAATTTTTGTCTTTAGAATCGATCGATCATGCACGCTTCGAGTGTGTTTTAGATTTATTTGCTATAAAATTAATAGATTATCTTTAAGAATATCAATTCTAATAGGAGCATTCTTAGTGGAGACATGCATTTTAGTTACTTTTTTAAGATCCGAGAATACATATGATAGTTGGTTTGCAATACCTTGTAAATAAACTATCTTCCGAAATTCTAATTCACATTATTTTATACGAGGATCAAGATGATATAAAGATAGAGTACTTCATGTAATCTCTTTTTTCAACATTTTCAATCGCTTATTTCATCAAAATCACGATCGATAAATCGAGTCGTAAAAATATCTTTTGTTTATGATTCAAAATATTTAATTATCAAAGAAGATTTAAATCCAACATATATTTCTAATCTCTTTT